AACTTTACAAGGAAACCCGCATGCAACTTTATAATTAAGCTACGGGTATGTTGGAGTGTGTTAAGTTTCTCCTTATTATAAAGTTTCATGAAAGTTTTAGGTACTTCTTTATGGTATATTGAACAATACATATTAAGTTAAAAAGTTATTTTAATCTTTCTTCGTACTATAATATTATAAATGCGAATGTTTGGATAGATGGATTTGTTAGAAGTTATCTCCAGGACAGCTTCATAGATCTTGCTGAAATTTGACATAGATTTTAACATAGTCTGGAAGAACACATAGGCTACTAATTAAGTTGTAAAGGCTACTAAGAGTCGCGGGTGAATAACTAGTAATTAATAAAAATAACACTCTTATTGAGGACTATAAATCTAATAGTACTCTACTATTCGAAATCGCTCAAATATATAATATTGACAAAAGATTACACGAGAAAAAACATCACTGTCAGTTGAGTTAAAATAATTGTTTTTAAATAAAGTATATATACAATGGGAAGGTACATCAAAGAGATGAAACTTTAGCTAAGTACAAAGTAAGTACTAAGTTAGCAAAAGAATTGCACTTCAAAGGAGAGAAATAATCACCGATTGTCTTTTTCTACTTTGAAAATTTACATTAAAAAAGTCTATTATAAAATATTGCTATTATTTTTTGTCTGGCGTAGACATGGCTTCTTTTACCTTCGCTTTTTTAAAAATAAATTAAAATACGTCAAAAATAGTTATTTGAATTTAGATATATCGGAAAACAAATTTTTTTAGCAGAACTAAATGGTTATTATATTGCAATAGTAACAAAGAACTTTATCTTTGTGTTTACCAGTTACCACTTAGGTAATTGTAAAATTAAACATGCTTTTTCTACAAAGATTTAAAATAATTTCATAATACTTATAAAATATAAATTTGTTGTAAGAGAATAAATTTAAGTTAGAATTTCGATGTTCAGTAATTTACGTTCAGATTTGGAAGTCCAAATGACGTTTTGAACGGTACCCAAAGCTCTTTGATAAAAGTTTCAGTGAAGGCCCGGACCGCAGTCCCACCGCACTTTATAAATTCAACAAAGCTATCTTCGATAAGGTATTCTCTTCGTGTCTGTATTTTATAGGGTCTTAAATCAGTTCCGTGTCCATTTATTAGTCAAGGGATAAATATTGCATGTTTCGACAAGCTCGCTTGTTTATTTATAAAGGAAAATAAAATCCGAGTTTATACGTATGAAGTACGTACGTATACGTACGTGTCAAGTAATATTAGCAAATGATTAGTGTTATCTGTCAAAATACATTTTTATTATTGCGTATTATTTTTAATACGGAAATGTAATTGATTCACAGTTTTTTATAACCTTTAAAACGCAGTAATATTTTAAATTAGCAAATAAATGTAATGAAACTTTTGCTATTTTAAAAATTTCAAACGATTTCTTTTAAAGTTTTTCAATCTCAATTTTCTCTGAAATGCACGTAGAAATTTGAAAATGTAAAGGATGTACAAATAAAGTGAGAAGATAAAACTTTGTGCTACGCTTCACGAATATAACCTTCAAATGCAAAGTAAGCGAAAGCCACATTTTATCCTATTTGCATGTTTTATAAAATACTTCAAACTTAGAAATAATTTAAAATGTAATTTGATGCACCACTGTATATTTTTATATCTTAATCCCTTTCATTTAACGTTCTTATTTTTCTAAACTAATAATCGACCTCGACTTCACTCGGGTAAATAAATAAATTGCAATCAAGTCGCTTACATTTTCCCGTTTTCGGTGGCTCAGGAGTCAAGCACTTGACTTGCTATCTGCAGGTCCTGGGTTCGAATCCCTACAAATACCAATGTGTTTTTCGATTTCCGATTTACATATGAACATTTATCCGACGTTCTTACGGTGAAGGAAAACATCGTGATGCAACCTGCACATATCTGAGAAGAAATTCAAAGATATGTGTGAAGTCAACCAACCCGCACTTGGCCAGCGTGGTTGACTATGGCCTAATCACCCTTAACTTAGGGTAGTATCCGAGCCCCTCTTAGAGGACGTATAGTGAGCTGATGATTAAGTAGTAATCGCCCTCAATCATAGATCAACGGGTTTTTATTGACTAAAGTTAAAAAAATGTAGCTCGTTTATTAACGATAAATCTAGCAACATATGTCGAATATTTAATTGTATTCTTACCGTGAGTTTCTAAGACCTAAATCTCCATTAAAAAAATTCTTATATATATTTTGTCAAAGATAATTACAGAGATAACTATATATTTTATACAGAGATTTTCGTCTCAGAAACTGTCTGTTAGTCATTCCATATTGTCATTTCATTGTAAAACATTAAGACCATTTGTCACCACTGTATAATTCTAATTGTTTCTATTCTATTGTATTGAAACTGTTATTCAAATAAAACTCCTTACATCGATTATAGAAATAGACGTGATGCATTAGTATTGACTAATATTCATCCCCTTCCCATTTCCTAGTAAAGAAGGTTTCGAAATCGGAAGATGGAAAAAAGTAGAGGTATTAATCTTACTTCTTACTAATATAAATGTGAACGGGTAAGCGGATTTTGATAAAATTTGGCACACATGTAGAACGTAATCCGGAAGAATATAAAGGCTAACTGACTTTGTTTTTTTTTATTCTGCGCGGATGGAATCGCGGGCGACAGCTAGTAGTCAAAATAAAGGTAGTCAACGCATCTGCGACTTATTTCTTTACTGCGTATAGATATGGTAGTGACTTTTGGAGAGAGCGAAATCGGTTATCATCTGTTTCCAGAGAAATCCTTCCTTCTCATTTTCTTATCGTAATGTAGGTTACACACGTCAGGTTTTTCATAACGGTTTATTTCAATGTATAACCTAGTAGCTGTCGTCTGCGACTCCGTCCGCGCGGAATTAACACAACACCTAGTTAGTAGCCTATGTGTTCTTTAAGATTACGTTCTATATGTATGCCAAATTTCATCGAGATCCGTTCAGTCGTTCTGGAGTTACATTCAAACAAACATCTATACATCCTAACATTCGCATTTATAATATTAGTAAGAAGAAACTCTAGTTTGTGACAAAACAATACAATTAGCAATTTTGACACAGTCATCCTTTAACTCTCATAGAAAAATGATGTCTCTAAACAATGGTTAATGGCCATCAAGTAAGAGTTTTACTATCTATATCTTATATATATAAAAGAAAGTCGTGTTTGTTACACTATTTATAACTCAAGAACGGCTTTACCGATATGGCTCAAAATTGGTATGGAGGTAGCTTAGAGTCAGGAAACGGACATAGGATACTATTCATTCATTTTTTTATTTTTAATCTTTTTTATATATCCACGCGGACGGAGTCCCCGGCGACAGCTAGTTCTTCATAAAGCTTCATAGTAGTTGTTTACAATGAGCTATAATCTGTGCTGGGAAATTTGCATTCAAACTCTAAGTGCTAACAACTATTATTTATGTTGGGATTTCGCGTCTGATAATTGGTTATTCCACAAAGTAAATGCATTCTATTTTTCCTTTCCTCTTATCTGTGAGAACACACGTTAGGAAACTCTGAACATTTTTACATGTACCTTGTAGTCATGTATGTAAGAGGTTTGTTATTATTTTGGACATTTTTGATGTCGTCATTCTTGTTTTAGGTATTCTATTTTTAAATAGACGTCTTTTTGTTAAAAATAGTTAACTACATTTTTAAATTTTCCTTATTTCTTTACAGAGGCGCTGGAATTTAAACTTATTTTAAATTATCGATTTATTTTACTAAATGATTTGTTTTAGTATGTAGTATAAAATAATTATTTTTTTTTTGATTGTAATATTTACAAATTATTAAGTCAATTCAATGGTTATACTAGCTGTCGCCCGCGACTCCGTCCGCGTATTAAAAAAACTCAATAAGTTTCTTATATGTTCTTGCAAACTATGTTCTATGTCTATGCCAAATTTCAGCAAGATCTGTTTAGCCGTTTGGGAAATACCTTCAAACAAACATCCATCCATCCACCGTATATTTTTTCCTTATTTCTACAGTCTAGACTGAATTATCGTAAGGATATGTATGAATATATTTTGTTTGTTTCACAGAGTATGTCATATATTTGCAGGCGTCTGTAAACGTTGGTCTGTAATGTTTTCGCGCGCACGCCGCCGAGCAACTGGTTATTCATTGAATGTTAAATATTAACGCGCAGAGGTGCCAGTAGGAATTAAACTACGCCCGAATTTACCTAACGAATACCAAGCCAAAGAATATATTTCAAATATATATTTGGTCTTACAATTTAAACTAGTTTTTTTACGTGTAAAACTCGTGAGTTAGTATTACTAGCATAGTAGTGTGTTAGCGTTATTACTTGATTATAAATCAAACATTTTCGGTATTAAAAAAACTTGTATACTTTCTGAATAAATTAATACGAATCCGTGCAAAATTTTTAATTGGATTTTCTGTTCTGTGTTATTTTTATTTCATGTCTAGCTGTGCCCGCGACTTCGTCCGCGTTAAAAAGTAGTCTATGTCCTTTCCCAGACTCTAAACTAACTGTGTACCTAATTTCATTCAATTCAGTTCAGTAGTTCTTGCGTGAAAAGAGGACAGACAGACAGAGTTACTTTCTTATTTATAATATTAGTAAGTATTTTCATATGGTAATCTTTATATTTTTAAATACTAGATGAGAGGGTTTCACATAATGTTTAGTTACAAACATTACAGAATTATATTATATATTAAAGTATTAACTTATAAATGTAGTTAAAATTATGAAGTATTTACAAGCAATCTAGTCTGTGGTTACTTACTCTATGTTACATCGTTCCGCGGCCTCAGTCCACGCGGTATACAAGTCGGGTTTGAAAACATAAACGCATAGCGCTTTGGCCAAACGGACGTCCGTCGCCTTTTTATCTTTGTTTACATTTTACTTTTCGTTCTTAATTTTTACCAGAAACTTAATGAAATTACTAAAAAATAAGTGCTTTAAATTCCTTTTTAATATTTATTTATTTTAATATAACTTTAGTGTTGTGGTGAAAGTTTTAACTTAATTATGAATGGTGTTATGGAACGTACTGATATGGCGGGAAATGATAATCGGTGAGTTAAATTAAAATATAAATTTAAAAAAATTACGGTAATAAAATTATTACTCATTAAAATAGTGTAATCGGAATCTTTTTATAAATTTAAAAAATAACTTAATATAATTTAAGATACTTTAAAGCGTGTTTTAGGAAGGCCGGTTTTTATAATTAAAAAGTACGAAAAATCGATTTTTTATTAATCTTTTAAAATATAAGAATTAATCGAATCTTTATCAATCACTTATATAATAAACGGTTAATTACATTGAAGTTATGTATAATGACATATATATATAAAATAAATTTTGTTGTTATGTTATTTCAAGGCCAATAAATTAAATGAAACATAAACTTTTTCATAAATTAATGTTTAGAGCGTCGGTGGCTCAGGGGTCAAGCACTTGATTTGCAATGCAGTTTCTGGGTTTGAATCCCGCCATGTACCAATGTGCTTTTCGATTTCCGATTTACATATGTATATTTATCCGACGTTATTACGGTAAAGGAAAACTTTGTGATGCAGATATCTGAGGAGAAAATTCAAAGATATGTGTGAAGTCAACCAACCCGCACTTGGCCAGCGTGGTTGACTACGGCCTAATCACCCTCGGTGGAGACGTACAGTGAGCTGATGATGAAAATTATAAAATAATTAGCTTATTTCTTCTTTCTTTTATATGACTTATTAGTTATTTATTTACAAAAACTATACAATTAATATAAATATTTCGCTAAGATAATGTAATTACGTGCTTATTATTAAAATCATTTTTTTATAATTTCTCTCTCTCCACGCAACTAGGCGTTTGTTCCGGATAATTTCCGAAACAGCAGGACCTTGATAGCACTTTTACTTAAAGGTAGCTTATGTGGGAGAGAGGTATTAACTTAGTCTAGTTTGTATTTTTTTATATCCGCAGACAAAGTCTAGTTAGAGTCCGCTGGTTTAATGATAAATATACCATTCAGAAGTTTCTCTTATTGAGTTATAATCGTGATTATATCTTATTTAAAAAGTTATGTTATATCTTTTGTTTTAAAGTATTCTTAATTCAAAAAACGAGATCCAATACAAATGGAAAATTATCGCTTTCAGACAGCGACGTTTAGACAATGATATTCGAATATTGCGAGTTTTATAAGACGTTGCACTTGCCAGTATTATATTTCTTTTATTATGTGATTTTCACAAAAAAAATATAATAGACATATTGGTCTAGGAGATTAATTCTTCCGTTGTACATAATTTTCGAACACCCTGTAAAAGAAATGTACCAGTTATATTATGAGAAACTAGAAAAGACTGTACTAAAATATTGTGTGATGGTTTTTCAATGTTACGAAATGAGATTGACCAACTATTTTGATGAAAGCTCGGATAAAGCTTTCCAAACTAGTTAAATGGATTTTGGGCCACTTTTAACAATCCATTGTTTTTAATATATTAAAAACTAACAACGTAGTTATACTTTAGAAGTATACCATGAATATAAAAAAGTTGCCACTAACCATTGGCTTCTAAAAACCAAAATTTCTGTATAAAAAAACTAGCTGTCGCCCGCGACTCCGTCCGCGCGGAATTAAAAGAAACTATTGATGGCAGCCTAATATTATATAGCCTAAAGGCTTCCTCTATAAATGGACTATATAACGAAAAAAAATTTTTGTAAATCGGACGTGTAGTTCCTGAGATTAGCGCGTTTAAACAAACAAACTCTACCGCTTTATACTATTAGTATTGATTTCGTCATTATCTTTGACAAAACTAAGATAGTAATGTTTTAAACGTGGATTTCGATCTCAGAAACTCACGGTTAGTCTAAATAAATACTATAACGTAATAAAATCCCACAGCGAAGCAAAATGTTTTATTTAAAACGAAAAACATGTGTTTTTTTTTTGTTTTTCGACTTACAATCGATATAAAGATATCGAATTAAGTTCTTATGTACTAAAAATATAAAATTTATTTATAAAAAATATATAACACAAAACAATTTGATACAGTCACATATGACTCAATGAATATTTCTAACATCTGGCGTCTGTTTCGTACCCGGATAGCAAAAAAAAAAAATATCAAAAGTACGTTAAAGTTGACATTGTAATTCATACCTTATTTAGACGAAGTAGGGAGACTATTCAAATTTACAATTCTATTATACATTCAGACAAAGAATAACATAAAAACAAATGTGTTATTAAGAATTTGAACATGATTTAAAATTATAATTTACGTACTTTATAATAAATTCAATGTTTCTTAACCGCCATCTTTTTTTGTCGACAGACGAAATGTTTCTACAAAAACATTAAAAGCCGTAATATTAACATGTTTTAAGATGTTTTGGTAATATTCAAATTCTATTCAGCCATTCTTAAATCATTTGATTATAAAAATAATAGTTTTTAAAAATAGAATACGAATTTTTCAAATAAATTTTTCAAATTTCTTCTTTTTTTAAAATTAAATTTAGGTATTCATTGCCAGTTTGCGAAATTAAAATTATTCAGCTATTTATTTCTTTATCATAAATTTTGATATAAAATACCGGTTCGTATAACCTTATATATCATTGCGGCAGCAAATATGCGTTTCAAAATACTGATAAACTTTCCTAGACCTCGCGGAGGTCAACGACCAAGGAGGTTAGTTTTATATACTAGCTTTTTAAGCCCGGCGTTGTCCGTTAAATTTGAATACTACAAATTTTTCAGTGTTATAATAAGTTTTCATAAAAAACGCTGCAATGATTTTTTATGCTAATTGTTAAGATTAAAAGTTACTATCTAATGTCAAAAAAATTAAGAAAAATAATTCGATATTTTATCATAAAATTTATTCGAACGAAATTGTGTTTTTAGGGTTCCGTGCCTCGAAAGGAAAAACGGAGACCTTATAGGATTACTTTGTTGCCCGTTTATCAAGACCCTTTTTTATAGTGTGTTTCTGAAGTGAAAACTAACGATTAAGATGTTTGTAATTTTTTTATCTATAAAATACTGTCCGGTTGAATGAAGGTCATCTGGTAGCCGAAATTATGTTATCACTCTTAATAAGTGAAGATAATGTGATAAATATTTGTTCTAAATTGTTTTTTCATCATAACTATGCATCTATTTGTACTTTGTTTTTTTTTTTAATTTTAGTATTTTTAATATGAATCCGTGGTCTCTGCCTACCCCTCTGGGTTACCTGTAAAAGCTATGTTACTGTATTATGTTTCTATTTACCATTACATATTCGCTTTTAACTTGATTATTTAAATATGTATTTTTTTTAAGAAAATATGGTTGAATAAGGTTGGCCTAATAACGTGCACATAAAAGTAAAATTAATTTTCATAATTTCAATGGAACTTAATTAAGCTGACTAGATAGCACACTCTAGAGAATAATATATAAAGAAATCCTCATGCTATTTATACTACAGACACGGTTTTTCTTATAGTTTAGGTATAATCTTACTTTAATATTAGAAATGCGAAAGTTTAAATGGATGGTTTGTTAGAAGGTTTCTCTACAACGGCTCAACGGATCTTGATGAAATTTGGCACAGATGTAGAACACAGTCTGGAAGAACACATAGGCTACTTATTAACGTAGCGGTCTATCCTAGGCGGTATTTCCAAACCAATACGACTTAGGGACCTTCAAGAAGCGACACAGTTCCTTAAAGGCCGGCAAGGCCTCTAGTGTGACAGATGTCCATGGGTGTCGTTGATCACCTTGGTGTTCCCTCGTTTGCCCCCTTATCTTATAAAAAAATAGGTTTTTCGTTTAATTCCGTGCAGACAGTGTCGCGGGTGACAGCTAGTATATCCTGATAAACATTACCCTCTTACTTGTCGGGCAATAATTTTACAAGTAGAAATTTTAGAAAAACAATGAGAGAAATGAAAAATAAAAGCGTGTTATAAATTATTTCGTTGTTGAAATAAGCCAAGGTCTAAGGAAAATTACGATGAGAGAAAAATATGAATACAGAAAATTATATTCGTAAAGAAAATTTAAAGAAGAAAATCTCACTGCTTCATTGTTTGTAAGAAATGAAATATCAGAGACTCAAATGACCTAAATTTTCTTCTTCAAAGATTCATTTTAGGTCAATGATTATCAAAGGCGAATTATCCTGTTTTTTTATCGTAATAGGCTTTGTACTAAATATTTAGAAATTTTAACTGTATCATATACACCTTTACACTCAAAAAGCGTCGGTGGCTCAGGGGTTTAGGCACTTGACTTGCAATCTGCAGGTCCTGGGTTCGAATCCCGCCATGTACCAATATGTTTTTCGATTATAACATATGTACATTTATCCGACGTTCATACGGTGAAGGAAAACATCGTGATGCAACCTGCACATATCTGAGAAGAAATTCAAAGGTATGTGTAAAGTCAACCAACCCGCACTGGACCAGCGTGGTTGACTATGGCCTAGTCACCCGTAATATATATAATATGGTATATATAATAGGGTAGGCTCCGAGCCCCTCAGTGGGGACGAATAGTGAGCTGATAATATATACACTTTAAAACAGTATTTTTTTTCTAAATAAATCTTAACGTATTGAATTTTGTTCCATAGTTTTCTTTAAAAGTTTTTCTATTTTGCATTTAAAATCTTTTGATTTAACAGTTGAGAAGAAATAGAATTTTCAATACTACAACTAAGTAACTAACTAGGATGACGCAGCGATCTCAAGTGGGACTTGGCCTGCGACAACAATAGTCTCCACTTTTCCCGGTCCTGGACACGTAGCTCCCGAAGATCTTTATCCCCTTGGTCAACTTGGCGACGACCACTGTGTCGTCTCATGTTTTCTTTTGATGCCTCGAACATCATCCATTCTCACTAAGTGGTCAACACTAGTTCGGTCAAATTAAATTAAAAATTAAGAGTGAAAAAATTATGTAACTTCGAATGTTTTAATGACTTGTGAAAATTTGACTTTCCAGATCTTTTATTTCAAAGTGAAATATTTATAATATCCTCCTTGTGATTTAGTCTTC